TGAGCACAGGACCTGCAGGATGAGGGTTATGTATTTCAGCATTTGGGAGAAGAATCTTGTATCATTTAAAATAAAATTAATGTAACTAACTGATGGAGACTGGAAAATAGAGATCATATCCAAATAATACTGCTACACAATGATTCTGCAGTTTAACAAGTAAAAAGGTACCTCCTAATTCTGAATTTGTTGACATATGAACTTCAGTAATCCGTACTACAGACTTTTGGTGAATATACTCAGGCAGTGTACCAGAAATGGTTGTGATTGATTGATAATTTGCATATAATTGTTATAATTAAATAAGTAGTTTTAAAGAGGTTCACTTTATATAGCCTATCTCTGCGTAAGGTATGAACATAAGTCACTACCTGCCAGTAACCTGATTTGAAGCGTGACTTGACTTTGAAGATAGCTACTTCCAAATGACGTAAAAGTTTTGTTCCTGATTTATGAGCTGTTGAACCTGCTAAGCTGATGTACTCACTAGGTAATTTTGATGGTAACGAACAGATGGACCTTTGGGTTATAGCCAGAATTAAGATCAGAAAGAAACTGTGTTAATAGCTAGTGTACTGAAGTCCTCTTACCTGAATCGCTGTTGCTAGTTTTAAATGAACTGAGTGGTCTTATCAACACCAATGTGACAACTGTTTTCAAAACCAGGGCTAAGAACAGGTGCATACACTACTACAGGCATGCATATACTACAAATTCTGACCAAATTTGCAGTTATTTAATTGCTTTATGAATAGGATAGGATAATGTGCAACAATGATGAGACTCTGCAATCCTATGGGATAACAGGATTTAGGACTTGCTCTGTCATCGAATCCCATACCTAGCTGTTGTAAGCAAACTTACAAACTGGTGTAAAACTCGGCAAGCTCTTGTTCTCTTCTGTTCCATTTCTGCTCCTACTGAAAAGCATTTCCATGACTGGTAATTGCATCCACCAACAGCCTCTTGTGTTGGTTGGCTAAGACCAGAAAGCTGCTGTTGCATTTCCACACAATGTCATGGATGAGGCTTTTCCAGTGCTATCAATACATCTTCTGCTCTTGCTACAGTGTAGGTGACAGGGCCTCATGTCTCATGTGCAATTTGCACTAAAACCATTTGGTGGCTCAGCCATCCTGTGTCTTTCTCGCCCTGTAGCATTGTTGAAGGCTAAGCCTCTTAAATCACCAAGTCTGTGAACCTAAAAGTTGTGCTATGTCCTATTTCTCTTGCTCTAAGTCTGAAGATCATCCATGTCTTTCTCTAAGTTACTTAAGTATCTCTGTCATTTAGCAGACTGTTTGGGCCACTGTTATCAGCCACAGCATGAGGTTAGCTACCTCATTTTTAAAGAGCATTCTGGTCTCATCTGAAACCACTTTTTTGTCCAGAATGGGTTATCCATCAGACTGCTGAGCTGATGACCGACTATTTGCATGGCTTCCAAACCATATGAGACATCAGCAATATGGGATTTGACTTTGATCAGATTCCCCGAAGACAAATACGAGTAAGCTGCACAGATACGTAGTTCTCATCATCCCATGACTGCATGATGGGGTAATGTTCCTGTGTGCATGTAACTACGACCCTAATAGAGTAGGAAAAAAGGAAACAGTGAAACTGAGCGTGTAGACATTGTTGCAATACAGATAAGACTCTTAAGTGTGCTTTCAACAGGAAATTAAGTAATACCTCCTATCATCTACACTAAAAAACCCCTTTGACCTGAGTATTTTCCAAGTCAGCTTATGAAAAACATTTCTGATGAGTCAAGTATGGATGCTGATGTAAACTAAAGCTTTGGAAACAGTAGCTTGTACACCCAGCAGGTGGTATCTTGTCATTCCACAAGTTTTCTGCAACTATTTGGAGAAGCACTACAGCAGTCAACATTAATATGTTGTCTCAGCTAAGTAACCAAAAAAAAAAAGCAGTAAAAATAAGTTCAGAACACAGAAATGTGGTGGCTTGCTCACACTTGAGAAACTTTGTACCTGACTTCAAAATTGGCTCATCGAGCCAGGTCTGGGTGGTTTTAGATCTCTAAAATCCAATCTACACTAGTTGCAAAATCACTTTAGCTAAGCCAGCTTTAAAGAGTTTGAAAACTTTTGCTACGTAGACAGGCTGTCATTGCACTATGACTCAGAATGACATGAGGAAGATCGGGGAAAGTAAGTGCAGAGCAGTAAAACACATTCTCTAAGGGAGAAGTATAGGTGTCTTACACTATTTTTAATTACTGGAGCATAAAATGTCAAAGCAACAAACTGATTTTTTTTTTTGTTTGTTTCTGTATTCCTCTGAATAAAAAAAAAAGAAAATTTTGGTTAAAAAAATATCTTAACATGAGGCCTTAAGACCTTCTATATTCTAACTTTAGCATGGAGAGTCTATTTTTACAACCACGTTAGAAATTCTGTATATAGGCCTGACTGACCTTGTAAGTATAGTGGTGCTAGTAGCTAATCATGCAATATTGTAAGGCTCTGTATAACAGCAAATGCTGATTTATTTTGATTATTGGTACAAGGACTACTGCTCACTGCCTGTGTAGAGACTCTGCATATTTTATGCTTGGAAATACAGTCCAGAACATATTAAAACTGTGAATATATAACCTGATTTTTCTTTTCTTAAGGGTAAAGATATATTACAATAGGTGGTGTTTTATAAAGAATACAATACTTATTTTTATTGTTGCATAAATGCAAGTATTTTTTTCAGAATGGCAAAGCATAACATAATTTTTAATCTGCTGGAGAAAACACTATTTACGGATGACCAGTTCTTTAGCAAAGCTTTTGGGGTGCTGTACACCAATTGGCTCTGCCAGCTTCATTTTGTGCTAATATTTATCTTGGGCATTGCTGTAAAAAAAAGCTGTCTGTTTTCTTCACTCAGACTAGCCCTTGTTGGTAAAACCTTTAGAGAGGCAAGGAGAATCGTGTTTCACCACTGGAGCTGGGCTAGTATTAGCAAAAACAATCAATCTATACCATACTGTTGTCTTTGCTAGTTAAAATCCTTTGAAGATCATACCTGATGTAATAGAAACATAAGATTTTGACAAACACCAAAATGAAGCACTGCAATTTAAAACTTCTAGCTTTGAGTGTGATATTTTTGTCATAAACATTACAGGCATTGGGCTGTTGAAGTGAATGAATCTGGCTTTCATGTAGCTAAACAAAACGTTGCTTTTTAGAAGATCAAATCATTGTAATTTGGGGTTCTAAATTCCTGCTCACTTTTAATAACAGCATCACAGTATCCACTTCTATGAGAGTATTTAATACAAATGCCTGTGGTTTTCAATGTTACTAACATATTGTAACATCAGTAAAGTGACTTTCAATGACAAAGACCATTGTGTGTATTTTGTTCTCTAAGTCCTTATATTAAGCATTTCCTGTTTTATAGGTCTCTAAAGAAAAGATGCTGCATGCATGGGGGGAAAAAAGGCTAATGGCTAATAATGGAATACCGATGCTAACTTTAATAGAATACAGATATTATTTTTCAAATTCCAAGTTTGAAAATGATCCTGTGAGATTCCCAGTCTTTGTCTTAGGGTCCTATTGCTCTCAAGGCAAATCTGAAATTCCTGTTCCTTTGGTTTGCATGTCTGAGGGCACCCTAGAAAAATTATTTACATTCTAAACTATGTCCAATTGTTTGCACAAAGGTCAAGAGCAATCACCCCACTTAGTATCATATAAACATCCTTCCCAGTATGTGTTTTGGGAAAGAGAAACCCTTAATTCTGAATTACAGGTAACTGATTCTCTAAAGCAGATAACTTACGTATTCGGATTGCTTACTGAATCTACTCTTAACAGGGAAATAGTTTTCACATAGGTTTCAGGTGCCTTTTTTTTTAGCTAGATGACAGCAAATTCTGTAGTCACTCCTTAACAACTGTATTTATTATCTTATGTCTAAACACAAAAGATGATCTATCCTGTCAGTCCCTGTTAATACCATGGATTTTTGAAATGCTTATGGAGAATGCAGTACTTTCTTGGGTGAGCTAGAATTTGTTCCTGGGTTTGGAGCAATTTGTTTTCCAGTTTTCTCTGTTTTGTGTTTACAAGATCCCTGAAGAAAACCCTATTGGTTCACACTGTTGTTCTTGCAGCATTTCACTGCCTGGTAGCTGGCTCGTGCCAAAATAGTAATTCAGCCTGAGGAAATAAAAGACTTTGCGTGTTTGTTATTGGTCCTCTTCGTTCATCGCTCCAAACACCTTTTATGCCTGTCATTAAAAAAAACAAGTAAATACCCCCCTCCAAAAAAACCCCAAGTATGCCAAATAACCTGAATACAGTTTTCAAGCTAACTTTTTACTTGTAGACTTGTAGGAAAAATTTCTTCATTGAAAGAGTGATCAGGCACTGATCACTGCCCAGGGAAGTGGTGGAGTCACCATCCCTGGAGGTAGGTGTTCAAGAAACGTGTAGATGTGGTGCTTAGGGACATGGTTTAGTGAGTTAGGTGCTGTTGGGTTGGACTTGATGATCCTTGAGGTCTTTTCCAACCTTAATGATTCTATGTTCTATGTTGACACAGTGTAGTTTTTGTATGTTTAAAAGTGTTTTATAGAGTGACATAAAAAGAGCAAGAATCTTACTGGAACCAAAGCCCCCTAAACAAGAGCACACTGCTAGAAGAGTTCTCAGCTATGTTTTGTCACATCCCTGAAGTTCTAAGATGTGGTCTTACACTCAGTGCATGGTGTCACAGACTTCATCTTGCAAATAGCTAGCTGTCAAAACAAGCAACTTAAATCTACTGATGCTCTAACAGACCAACATAAAACGATCATTCCAAAAGCTCTTTCAGTTTGTACGTGTGTCTTATGCTGCAAAAGAATATGTATCATCTTATGCCATATACATGATACTATTTAAGACAGAAAAAGCTAACTTGCACTCCAGGAACTGGTTTTAGGGAATCACAGGAAAAAAGTAAACACACTACAGAAAAAAACTATCTGCATAATTTGAGTTACACATAGTGAGTTGCAAGTTTATTAAAATAAAAACATCTTTAATAGTCACAGGTTGAAAATTAAAAACAGTATGTGAGTAATTGATATTCATTGGCAAGACTAAAAAATACAAGTGTGTAAAGCAATGCCTTCATAAAATATGCAATTTCCAATATTGAGATACACAATCACTGGAATATATGGCAAAACAAAACCAAACTGGAATGTTAATCATGATCATCCACAGCTTTCTTCCTTGCGATTTAGATGCTCATAACACACTGTATGAACTGAAAAAAGAATAACCACTTATTAGATGTATGGTAGAGAGCAAGTTTTCACTTTTTCTTCTCAAATACCCATTGTCACTACACTTTTCTGTAAACAAATTCAGTCCATGAACAACAAAGCTTTGAAACTGAAAATTACCTAATAGTTAATTAAAACCAAGTATCTCCTTAATATTGACAACAAAAACCACAGGAATACTTGAATCTAGGGTCCCTCTTTTCCTGCACAGATGTGTCCAGGAAGCCACAACCTCCAAGCCTGACTGAGTGTGATTTCTGTCTGTCCCCACTGCACCTCCCCAAGCCTTTCCTAGGAAAAATGCCTACCAAGCCTTAAAAAAAAGAAGAAAAAAAAGTCTCTGAAAGTCATGTTAACAAGCAACATAGCCTCTTAAATCTTCTTGAGCCACGCTGGTAAGAAATCCAGACAAAAATGCACAACATTTTATAGAACTCTATAATATAAAGAAAACTTTTTGAGACAATACTCAACATGTTAAGCCCAGAACCTTTGTGCTCTCAGGCAACACAGTAAGTGTCAGGAAGACAGGCACAAACTCAAATCATTACTGTTTGTCTTCAGTTCTAAGTTTTTTAGTTTTTCCCTGTAACTTCAACTGTTTCCTTAAAGTTCACTTACATCATCATACTGGAAGTTCACAAAACCCTGCTGAGATGTATCCCTTCTTCTAAAACACTCTGGAAAAATGCATTAAGAAAACAAAACAGAAACCACATCAGAATAATTACAGCTAATTTTTTTTAAAATGCATTGTCATTTCATTAAATTCCCCAAGTCACATGAGTGAGAACTCATGAAGGACACTGCAATTCATTCCATGTAATTTCCTGTTCTTCATTATCATATTTATTATGTACAACCCTTCATGTTCTGTTGATAAATATTGTTTCCCAATTCCCAATTTTGGTAACATAACTCTTCTGGTCTCTGGAATAAACCCTGCATTAGTTTTAAGTCCATTTTTCAATGGGGATTTAAAAAAACATAATCTATAACTGTTCTAGTTCTGCCTGTAAACTCTATTGAAAGCAACCTATTTTGTTTTACACAGAAGTTAAAGCTGAACTTGAGATAACTGAGTAATCAGATTTTATTAAATAAAAATATATTATGGGAATGAAAGTAACAAGGCTAACAAGGCTATATTCCAGCATACCAGTGAGAGCTCTGAGTTTCACACAGCAGGCAATGTAATCATCAAATGTAATCTTTCCATGAGTGCTGTATCGCCTTGTGATTGCAGTCACTGCCTGTGGGCTCAGTCTAAATCCTATTTGAAAATAAAAAGTCTATATTGAAAAGACGGGTAAGTTAACAGAATCCAACACTTTTTAAATTGGAACTGTGCATCAGTTACTGCGGGATGATAACTGGTAATAGCATCAGAAGCAAGAACATTTCACAACTTACCCATATTCATCAAGGCCTTCTCCAGTTCCTGACGATCCACTGTACCACTTCTATCGTTGTCAAAATTTACAAAGTGTTGCTTCCAGCCATTGACCACAGCCCAGAGTTCTTTAAACTCATTAAATCCCAGTGTGCCAGACATATCTCTCTGATTGCAAAGCTAAGAAAAATGTTTCTTAACTTAAAAAGCCCCCTCTTCAATGGAAATTTGTACTTTTATTGTCTCTAGTTAAAAACTCTTTCTTGAAGGCCAATATTAACAATATTTTACTATTATTAATTTTTTCTGGGAGAAAACTAACTAGAGCATCCCACAGCACAGAGATAATACTACTGACCAAAACCAAAGGTCAAAGAACTTTCTCTCCTCACTTCTTCTCAGTGAAACCTGATAAAACTATTTGCTCTTTGTGAATTTAACTTAGTTCACACACTTCTCTTTTACCTGCTGCAGTGTAATTTTTACCAATAAAATACATATCCGAAATAAAAACAGATGCCAAATTAAAAATTAAGTTAGAATAACAGTTCTCTTGCATTCTAAGCAGTTTGTTCAAGGTGAGTTAACAGCCCTTCCTGTTTCATCTCTGCTTTTTTATTTTTAAACAGCAAAACATTTGAATCTGACAATTTAAGTTTTGACCAAAAAACCCCAAAGATTGCAACATTGCACAGTATTAGTCTTCTGTAGGTCCTACAGCTGAATGCCATATACCATCTCATTAGATACTTGAACCTGATTCATTTGAGGACCAGAATTTAGGGGGACTTGTATTCAGGCTGAGTACTACAAATGCTTAATTCATTAGTAAGGACATCTACAGTGCTGTCCAATTTCAAAAGCACAACGAGCTATTTGCACAAAACTCTATTCTGGGCTGCCAGACCTGATTCTTCATGTATCCAAT